GGAGGAGGAGGAGGAGGAGAGAGCACCAGGAGGAGGAGGACGAGCAAGACGAGGAGGACGAGAACGAGGACGAGCAGGAGGAAGAGGAGGAGGAGGAGGATGAGGAGGGAGAGGAGCAGGAGTAAAGAGAGGAGGAGGAGGAGCAGGCTGAGGCTGAGGCTGTGCACTGCGACTGGCCGTTCCGCTGGCGACTGTCATCGCGAATGCGACTACGACTGGCGAGAACAGCAGAATTCGACAACTGGATTTTCATCTGAATCTTAAGGGGAATGCTTTCAGATATGCTTCTACACATCGCTGTTAGGTTGCTTTGCCGGGATAATTTTTCGCGGGCACCCAGGAAGGCTCCAGGAAGGCGCGCAAGGCAACCACGATGAGGACCCAGGGCAGCCTAACGGGGGGATGCCCAAGAGGCGCTAAAAGAGCTTGGCAAGACCATGCTGGGAGTCTCTTTGGATGCGTTTGGGGGGCACTTTTGGAGGGCTCTTTGAAAGATTGTCTGGCCTCTTGGAAGCATCTCGGAGGTCTCGTGTCAGACTTGGAGCCTCTACACAGCCGTGACAAAAGTCTCTTCAACTTGCTATGATGAAGATTTCTCCCATCCCTCTCGAGATTCCTAAGATGACATGATGCTTGGATCATTCGGCGGAGTAGTTTCCGATCCCGGAGACGTTCATAACTCTGTTACCCCACAAACGGGACGGGAAACTACTCCGCGCCAAACCATATAAGTTATCGAGCGGGATGCGATTGCGCGCGGAGCAGTTTTAGCAAAACTGCTCCGAACTGCTCCGCACGAGCGCGTCGTTCCAAAAGGCAGATTGAGGGAAACTTTCGTCACGGCGATGTACGGTGGCCTCTTGATGCCTCTGGGGGGGGGGGGCCCTCGGGCGCCCCTGGGGCCGCTTGGAGACCTGTCGGGGCCCTGCTGGCGGTCTCGGGGGCAGTCTTCGGCGGGAGGCGGGCCCGCTCTGCCGGTGCGCCGCCTCTTTTTGCCCCCTCGCGGGGCTCTCCTGGAGCGCTCTTGGGCTGTGTGAGGGGCGAGGCGTTCTGGGCCGCCCGGAGGCCCTGTCGGTGACCTCTTGCGCCGTCTTGAAAGGTTTTGGGGGGCTCTGGGGCTGTCTTAGAAAGCTTGAATGGCGAAAGAGCGAGAACACAAAAATCGCCGAGCAAACGTGTTGGGAAATCAATAGTTGTTGCCTCCTGGTGCCTTCGGCCCATGCCGCCAGCGTTCCTGGGTTGTGGGTTAAATGCCTCTTGGAAGTTCATTGGGATATCGTGCAAGGCCTCTCGAGGGCCTTTTGGAAACAGTTTTGAAGCCTCCGGGGGGGGGGCCGTGTTGGAGTCCTGGGGCCTTTGGGGGGCCTCTAAGGAACCTCTTTTTTTGAGTCTCTTGGAGCATATTGAAGGCCTCTTGGGGCGCAAGGCTCGAATTGTCGATTTGTGCTCCCTCTCTTAGGCCCCTCTTGGGGCCGTCCTGAAACCATGTTGGGCCGTTTGGGGCGCCTCTTGGGCCATTTGGGGGCCCTCCTGGGCCGTTTTCGGGGCCTCTTGGGGGCCTCTTGGGCCTTCTTGGGGCGAAATTAGAAGCTTCTTGGGCCATCTTGGAGTGTGGAAAACCCGAAGACGCGAGAACGCAACAAACACAGAAAAACACGCTGGACATCAATGGTTTGGGCCTCTTGGGTCCCTCTTGGAGATCCTCTCGGAGCGCTCTTGGGGCCTCTTGTGGGCCTCTTGGGCCATCAGGGGGCAGTCTTGGGCGGCCTGGTGCGCTTTGGGGCCGTGCAGGAAACGCCCTGGAGCGTTCAAAAAGACCCGAAGGGGCTGGAAACTAAAGTTGATTGCGAAGGGGGAGATTTTTTTTGGTGGGGGGGCCCAGGGCCCTGGGACCCGGTCGCTGGTTAGGTTGTACATCTATCTATATACATTTATATACATGTGTATATATAGAATGTACACATATGCATAAACATATATATGTATATAATAATAATAATAATAATACTAATAATAATAATACTAATAATAATAATGATAAGAATGATAATAATGATAATAGTAATAATAAATAATAATAATAATAATAATAATACTAAGAATAATAATAATAATGATAACAATAATAATGATGATAATAATACTAATGATGATGGTAATAATAAAAATAGTAAAAGCAAAAAAGAACAAAGTATCAACGTATCACTGTATCAATGTATGAGCAAAACGTCAACGAAACAAAAAAAACATAATAAACAAAAACACGGTCCATCATACTGTTGCCAAAGCAAGAGGACGCTGGGATCCGCCGCCTCCTCCTCCACTTCCTCCTCCTCCTGCTACTCCTCATGCTCCTCCTCCTCCTCCTCCTCCTCCTCCTCCTCCTCCTCCTCCTCCTCCTCCTCTTGCTCCTCCTCTCCCCCTTCTTCCTCCTCCTCCTCCTCCTCCTCCGTCCTGCTCCTCGTCATCCCTCCTCCTCCTCCGCCTCCTCCCCTTCTCCTCCTCCTCCTCCTCCTTACCTCCTCCTCCTCCTCCTCCTCCTTCTCCTCCTCCTCCTCAGCCTCCTCCTCTTGCTCCACCCTCCTCCTCTTGCCTTCTCCCTCTTGCTCCTCCTCCTCCTCCTCACTCCTACCCCCTCCTCCTCACCTCCTCTTCCTCCGCCCCTCGCCCCCCCCCCCCGCCCTCATCATCCTCATCCTCCTCCTCCTCCTCCTCCTGCTCCTCCTCCTCGTCCTCCTCCTCCTCCTCCGCATCCCTGTTCATTTCCTCCCTGGGCGCTCCGCGTTCCACACTCTGTAAGAGGGCGGCTCGCTCCTGCAGAAAGGCGTCGATGGTCTTCTCCTCCAGCACGGGGAGGGGACGTCGGCGGGCCCACAGGGTAAATGTGGCAAAGACCTCCTCCGCATCCATGCCCTCTTCTTCTTCTTCTTCTTGTTCTTCTTCCTCCTCCTCCTCCTCCTCCCTCTGCTTCCTGCCTCCTCCTCCTCCTCGTCCTCCTCCTCGTCCTCACTCCTCCTCCACCTCACCCTTTCCCTCCCCCCCCCCTCGCTCCACCGCGCCCTTCTCCTTCCTCCTCCTCCTCCTCCTCCTCCTCCTCCTCCTCCTCCTCCTCCTCCTCCTCCTCCTCGTCGCATTATTCGTGGTAATAGTGTTCTCGCTGCTATGGTGTACTGGTGGTGTTAATATTAGTATGTTTTACACTACTACTAAAATGAAATCCCGATTCGCCGTAGCAGTATTAATAGTAGCAGCCGTACTATTACTACTACTACTACTACTACTACTACTACTACTACTACTACTACTACTACTACTACTACTACTACTACTACTACTACTCCTACTACTGCTGCTGCTGCTGCTGCTGCTGCTGCTGCTGTGCTGTGCTGTTGTTGCTACTTCTACTTACTACCGACTACTACTATTCTACAATAATACTACTATTACTACTATACTACTACTAACTGCTATACTACTACTAATACTACTATACTACTACTACTACTACTACTACTACGACTACTACGACTACGACTACTACTACTACTACTACTACTACTACTACTACTACTACTACTACTACTACTACTACTACTACTACTACTACTACTAGCCACATTATGATGATCATTATTAGTGGTAGCAGCAGTAGTATCAGTATGCGCAGTAGTAGCGCCATTCGTCTTCGAATCATTCTAAGCCTTCATAGTGATAATATCCGTAAGACTCGTATTATGATTATTATTCGCAGTAGCTTTGGTAGTACCATGAATGCTCTTAGCACGAGTAGTCTTCGTACTATGGTTAATAGTATTCGTAGTAGTGTTGATACCAATGATAAGTTCATTTGTATTGGTACTAGGCGCATTACCACTAGAAATCGCATTACTGTTGGTAGTAAAACTAGACTTAGCATGACTAGTAGTATTCAGATTGGTATGAGCGGTCACACTCGTATTCGTACTATTCGTCCTCGTCCTCCACGTCCCCCTCACCTGCGTAGGTTTACGCGTGCTAAGTGTTTTATCTGGCGTGTGTCTTCTTAGTATGCTTCGCCTGCTTATACTTAAGATTCGTACCATTAGTCGGATTCGCATTCCTATGATTACTCTCTGGTTTCGTCTCATTAATGCTAGTCTTCAAATGATTCGTCGCCTTCGTCGTGTCAGTCGTATTATGTTTGGTGTTATTCCTCTTACTACTATCACTAGTCGTCCTTCCTCCTCCTCTCCCTCCTCCTCTTCCTTCTCTCCCTTCCCCTCCTCCTCCTCCTCTTCCTCCTCCTCCTCCTCCTCCTCCTCCCTCCTCCTCCTCTCTTCCTCCTCCTCCTCCTCCTCCTCCTCCTCCTCCTCCTGCTCCTCCTCCTCCTCCTCCCTCTCCTCCTCCTCCTCCTCCTCCTCCTAATCCCCTCCTCTTCCTCCTCCTCCTCCTCTCCTCTTCCTCCTCCCCTCTTCCTCCTCCTCCTCCTCCTCCTCCGCATCCTCCTCCTCCCTTTCTTTTCCTCTTCCTCCTCGTGTCCTCCTCCTCCTCCTCGTCCTCCTCCTCGTCCTCGTCCTCCTCCCTCCCCCCCCCTCCTCCCCCCCCTCCTCCTCCTCCTCCTCCTCCTCCTCCTCCTCCTCCTCCTCCTCCATCTCAGGGCTGGCTCAGAACGTCTGCAGCCCTGAGTCAGGTATCCAGAGGGTGTGGCAGGTCAGTATGGTTCGACGACGAGGTGAACCTCATCTAGCTGAGTGTGTCTATTCGTGCTGATGATGAAGGGAACACCGCATACCGTAGTGGACAAGTACTGCCTGGAGGAAAAAATGCCGTGGGCCCAACACCCAGTTGTGGGACGCCTGCCGTCACGGACTCTAAGAGCATGCACAAATCCAAGGACAGCAAGCAGACTGTCACATCTGTCGTGGCCAACTGTACCCAGTACACTATGGCTGCCAAGCAATTCATAGAGGATCACGAGGATTATGACATGATCGCGCTTTGCGAGCACCACCTTCGTGGACCTGCGGCGGAGATCGAGGCAACCAGGCTGATGCGCCAGGGATGCCGCTTTCACGGCACGTGGACCCCAGCTAGACAGTCGCCACGTTCACGCAAAGGGACCTCGGGAGGCACATGCACGTTACGCCGACGGCATCATGATACACAGGCACAGAGGCCAGACACCACAGGACACAGCATCTTTGCCAAGGAGGCCCACGACATCTCGATCGTCATCTGGAGGCTCAAGGGCCAAGATGTTGCAACCATCACAATCTACCTCACCGCTTCCATCGGCTTCTCAGGCGAGAACATCGAGAAGATGCGGCACCTCCTGCAGATCGTCAGGAGTCTTGGGAATATGCCGTGGATAGCATGTGGGGACTTCAACAACACGCCGCAGGAGCTGGCAGAGACTCCTTGGTTGAAGCTTTTGGGTGGCGCAGTCGTCGTGCCCCAGAGCGTTTGACATACGTGCAGCAGCGGATCAGGGAGGTTGATTGATTATGCAATTGTACCTCCACGTTGTGAGCCCTTACTACGTGCAGTACGTGCTGAGCATGCGGTACCGTGGTCTCCCATATATTGGCATCGTGTTCGAGCTCTGGGCCAAATCGGCACTCAGTACCATTTGCAAGCCCATGCTCCCAGCCAAGCGACCAACCCCAACAGTAGAAGTACGGCGAGAGAAAGGACTCAAACGCCAACAGCGGGATCGGCAACAGCAACAACAAGTACAAGCACATGGAGACGGCACCGGCATCATGGAGGAAGGCCTACTGGATGCGCACTTCAAGGCTACGGTACCTATGCAATGCGACGGCAGCTTGTGGGAATGCATACGCGACAGCGAGCGCGAAGCCAAAATCAAGAAGGCCCCGCAGTGGATTCAAAACTCCATAGCCTACCAGCAGGACCCGCACAAGAGCGATGTACTAGGCCAGATCTATGCCAGGTGGGCGAATGCAGCCGAAAGAATGCTCGCCACCATCACAGGTGCTCCGCTTCAGCCACGAGCGCGGAGAGAGCAGCCCACGCAATACGTCAAGGCGCCGTACACGCAGCATGTCAAAGCGAAAAAGGATGGAGAAACCAGAGCAGATCAGCTACGACGTCACAACATGAGCTGGAACACGCTACAACAGAGGTGCCGCGATGGGGAAATTTTACTACGCAAGCAACCCCAAGATAGCGAACAGCATCTCAGAGTGAGATGTAACATCATTGAGTCAGTGGACTACCAGATCCAACAGAGCGAGCCGACGAACATCGCGGAGATGGACTACCTCGACCAGAAGGCCTGCCAATTTGCACTTAGAGTCGTAAGGCTACGACATGAAGAAGAGTCAGATGTCGCCATAGATAACATCGGGGAATGGGCCGAAGCAACGGAGGCCATACGAGCTCGAGCTGAATGGCATGGACGGCAAGCTTGGAGAGTCATACGTGAACAAATATCTCAGTGGGTTCGATCCGCACTCTCGAATAGCATGAATGATGCACACAGGTACTTGAGCAAACATGAGCGACGAGACCTACCAGACACGGCAGTAGATCCCAGCACCAAGCAGGAGACTGGAGCATTGCGCGAAGCAACGGAGTGCCGCGCAGGAATATGGCAAACGCGTTGGCAGCGACATCACCATGACAGCGGCATACACCAAACCATGCATACACCAAACCAGCATAAGAGCGTCTCACGCAGATCGCCATGAGACCTCGCCGCCCCATGGGGGGCTGCGATCTGAAAAAATGTCGCCACTTTCGTGAGCTCCTGGGAGGCCCAGCGGAGGTACGCCTTACGCAGGACACCGCGAGGCATCGCCGTCCCCTGGGAGGCTGCGATCTGCGAAACTGTCGCCACATTCGTGGGCTCCTGGGAGGTCCAGCGGAGGTACGTCTTACGCAGATCACCCTGGGACCTCGCCGTCCTCTGGGGGGCTGCGATCTGCGAAACCGTCGCCACGTTCGCGGGCTCCTGGGAGCCCCAGCGGAGGTGCGTCTTACGATGATCACCATGAAACCTTGCAGTCCCCGAACCTTGCAGTTCCCGGGGGGGGGGGGGCGATCTGCGAAACTGTCGCCACTTTCGCGGGCCCCTGGGAGGCCCAGCGGAGGTGCGTCTCGCGCAGATCACCATGAGACCATGAGACCTCCCGCCCCCTAGGGGGCAGCGTTCTGCGAAGCTGTCGCCACTTTCGTGGGCCGTCCTCTGGGTGGCTGGGTTGCGACGTTGGGTGGCCCAGCGGCGCTGCTCCCACGAATTATGTCTCCAATCGTTTCTCCTTGTTGTTTTCCCCCACACTCTCTCGCGGCAGCCTTCCTGTCAACGATACGACTCTTAAGAGCGACGCCGCATAATCTGGCCCGGCGTTCTTTGGCGAACCGTTCAAGAGCACGGCGGATCCTTCGGTGCTCGCTTTTGTATCGAGCGGTCCGACGTACAGTCGCCTCACGTGTACAGAGGGTTGGGTACGGCAGGTTCGTGTCGTGCCGACCCCAGCGTTGGTTTTTGACACCGCAGGGATCGTTCAACCTTGAACGATCGGCCATTTCCGCAACGTCCAATCGTTCAACATCGATCGATTCTGGGTCGCCGGCGGCGTTCAACCTTGAACGCCCGCGCTGGGGGTCGCCGCTGGTCGACACGACGCAAACCTACCGTACGCTCCTGGGTATGTTCCCAACTCTCCAGTGGTTGGTTGAATAGAGCACTGCTCCCTCCTCTTCCCTTATCCCGCCTTTCCACCCCTCCTCCCGTCCGCGTCCTGCCCCTGTGCCCGCGCTCGGGCGGCGTCGCCTGCGCCGCGGAGGTGCCGCGGGCTCCCTGGGAGGCCCCGCGGAGGTGCGCCTCGCGCAGATCACC